TATTTACAAAAATATTGATTCGAATATAAAAAAGATCCAACTTTGCTCGCTTAATTTTACAGTGTATCTACATTTTACACGTTTTAATACGAAAAACGTAAATTTCTTGTATATGATAACGTTCACTGTTCACATAATGACATTAAAATATGATAAATTTAAATTTTATTGGACTTCTATTGCTGAAAAACGTCTATGATATACTATTTCTTACAAAGGTACCATTACGATACCTCTCCGCTCGAATTCTGAACGAAAAATCGGCCTTTTCTCCGGTCACCGTTGTGAAAAGTAAGACTAATACCAATCAAGAGCTACTAGGCTATTTAGTTTGCCATGAAATTACCCAAATAATTGAACCATCCCTTTAACTTTAAGTTTCTGAACTTTCTACACAGCTTTTATTATTACTTGCTTATATTAATACTATTAGAACAAGGATATGTGTAAACCAACCTAAAAGATATTCTAATTTTCTTATCTCATTATTTACAGTTTGAAATATTAAAGCTCTCCTACATCAGGTTGCAAAGATATAAGATGAAAAAATCTGAAGTTTCTAAGCCTAATTTCAGGTCTTGAGCTTGTGGTTCAGCCCAGGATATCCAGCCCGCCACTGTATTCAGATTTACTAGCTGAAGTATTGGTAAGCAAAGTGTGATATATCTACACGTGATTGAAATGAGTATTCGCCACAAACTTGGATTTTCTAATCACAATATCTTTGCAACCCTTGATGTCGTAAAACATAGATATCTGTAATAAATATGTCGTTGAAATTTCAAACTTTGAATTATGTTAAATCAAATAGTCGAAGTTTAAAACATCAATTTTTACACAATCATGTTGCAAACATATAGAGATTAAACATATAGAGATTAAACATATAGAGATTAAACATATAGAGATTAAATATCACCAATATCAATTTGAGAATCTTTTATCTTTCTAAATAATGATAATATTGATAATTATATAACACATAATAGAATTTTTCTATTATCGAGCAATGTTTTTTTGTTGCAAATTTACCGTAATTGAACTCATATTTATAAATTGTGTACCTTCACATGGCTTTTATAGATTTAAAGAAAAAAACCATTATGGATTTTTCAAACACGGAGTGATCAAAACCAATAAATAATAATGTGTCAATAAAATATCTAGCAACAACGGAAATGTCGTCTTATGCACAATCTATTCTTTTTCAATCTTTTAAAGCAGTTTTTAAACATTGCATTAATCCCTCACCTGAAAGTCCTTAGTCAAACCGATACTATCTAATTATATTTTATTATATTTAATTATATTTAATTATATTTAATTATATTTTTAATTCCTAAATTTTTGCAGCCTCATGGTTTAAACCTTTGATATTTCAAACATTATTAAATCTCTATATAGTTTGAACTGCTAAAGGTCTAAACCCCAGGTTGCATGGATAGGATGATGCTAGGTATTAGTTCGAGTACAATGATAACCACGAAACTCTGGAACATGGAAGTAGACTTTAAGACTAAAGTTATGACTTTATATGGTCCAATGAACGTGAGTCACAACAATCGTGCAGTGTAAACAGACCCAATTCACTTAAAACTAATTTAATGACTTTCTATCTTTGTCAAATGTACTTCAGTGTTACTATAATGTCGTCTTCCTGTTTAGAGTTTTCTGGTTAAAAATGAAAATGATAAATACTGTTGACTAAATTATTACTACTGTTTAGATAACAGTTGATCCTAAAGTGTCTGAAACTACTAGATCTAAACATTAACTATTAATATTATCTGTTTAGATAACAGTTGATCCTAAAGTGTCTGAAACTACTTTATCTAAAGTATTAACTATTAATATTATCTGTTTAGATAAACAGTTGATCCTAAAGTGTCTGAAACTACTAGATATATAGCATTAACTACTAATATCTTCTGTTTAGATAAACAGTTGATCCTAAAGTGTCTGAAACTACTAGATATAAAGCATTAACTATTAATATTATCTGTTTAGATAACAGTTGATCCTNCCCCCCCCAGAAAAAGGCCTTAGATTAGCCCCCAAACTATTAAAGTTATTGTATTAATGAGCTGGCCTTGAATAATTGGGCTTTGAACATGCATTTCAACCCTATAACATATTCTCTAAGACCTTTTTCTAGGGAGTGGCGTAAGACGCCCCCCTCAGGGGCGTCCGCGAGTAAATATTCAGTTCCTTTTAACCAAATTTTCTACTTTTTTAGTTTCTTTTTTGAGCCGAATTCGAAATGGAAATCTTCCTTCAGCGATGGCCTAAGTGGAGAAGGATTTAGCCTTAAACTTGGCCTTACTCTTCAATACAGGTTTTAAATATAAATACAATTCATACAGCGGTGTCCAGGATACATTGGAATTACTTAAACTTGGTCTTACTCGTAAATACAGGTTTTAAATATTCATAAATTCATACAGCATGGTATCTAGGAAACATGTTTATTTAACAAGTATATGTCATACCCAAAATATATACAATCATCAATAGTGTCATAATCAAAATGATCCAAAAAATATAAATGATATTGAACTCTCAAAATGTAAATGATATTGAACTCTCAAAATTCTCAGTTTTCAATAAATGCTAAATCAAAGTGAGTTAGTATCAGTACTTTAGCGAGGGACAAAAATGATTTAAAAAGGCGAGAACCTTGAGATTTAGAGAACCTTTGAGATTTAGAGAACCTTTGAGATTTAGAGAACCTTTGAGATTTAGAGAACCTTTGAGATTTAGAGAAAATTTAAGACCAAAAACTTCGTGCCAAAGAAAGTGCTATAGGTAATTTAATGAAACCGTTATGATCTTGTCTTCTTTGGATTTCAATGGCTCTTTGAATCAAATCAGAAGTCAAACTATAAAGATGATTTCAATTTTAGTTTCATTTCAATTGAAAAAAAATATTTTGGAAATATCCAAATTTTTTTGGAGAAAATCCGGGACCAAACAAAACTTTATAGCACACTTGCTATAATGTACAGCTAATTATTAATTTAACTTTATAGCACGATGATTACTTTATAGCACGTTCATGATGAAGTTCACGATGAATTAATGAAGAATGATAAAGTACACTATAGTTTAAAAAAAAATGTCCTGGGATTCATCTACTATCATAAAATGTAATTTCAGAAAAAATAAATAAAAAAAGTAAATATTTACATAAACTTTGCAAGCCAAGGAGTTTATTTTTGCTAATTCTTGTTTTTAATAAACTATGGTAATCAAAGGGTCTTGAAACATTGAATTTCTTTATTTAAAATAATTTACACATTTATTATTTTCAGAATTGTCTGTGACTCGCCACCATGCCCCATGTTTCCCAAGGTAAGCCTGAGTATCATTTGATGTTCATGATTTCATCCCAATCACATTTTCCTAAAGGAATTTACACTTTGCCACAAATCATTTTCCCCATTCTTCGCAAACCTATGATATGTCTATAGATTCGATTATTTGATGTTACAGAATTCATATAAACATATCTAATTAGTTTTACATGAATAGCAATTCGGTTTATAACACATTGTAATGTAATTTTCAAAAAGATAATTTAGTAGTCTATTTTTAAATATACTTAGAGAGTTGCTTCTTTTTAAGTCAAGAGGCAGGTTATTCCACATCTTAAGAAGAGAGCTTGCATGGTAAATACTGTAACGAGCACATTTTGAGAATGTCAAGTTGATAGTTAAGAGATCTTTCAAAGTTTCCAAGCTTTTAAAAAATATTTTCAAAAGATGCAGGAAGAAGTTCATGTGTATATTTCAGTTTCAGTCGAGTTTTAGTTTCCTTAATTTCATATTAATAAAATAAAATATATTAAATCCCTTTAGGAACCAAGACCCAGAGTAAACATATTAAATCCCCATAGGAACCAAGACCTGGAGTAAACATATTAAATCCCTATTTGAACCAAGACCCGGAGTAAACATGTTTAATCCCTTTAGGAACCAAGACCCGGAGTAAACATATCTAATGATGAAAGATCAATTTCCTCAAAAACCACAATTTCTCCAGATATAACAGGTATCTTTTACAGATACATTTTTTCTTTTTTTTATCCAATTTCTTATAGTAAAAACATGCCAATTAAATGCTTAAATAATTGAGCAATCATCAATACTTTGTATACATTTATAATAAAGGAAATAGGTTTTTGACAATCTATTCTATATATTTGCAATTGATGTCTTAGACTTTTGATATGTCTAACTATATTAAATCAAGTTTAAATTATCGTCGCGTAGGTTTACTCATTTAGGTTGCAAAGATATAAGGAGTCATAAATCAGAGTTTGTAGCAAAAACTTAGTTCCATTGTCTTTAAATTTAAAAAAGATTTCTTGACATAACATCAATTTATAATCCCTATATCTATATTATATCCCTATATCTATATTATATCCCTATATCTATATTATATCCCTATATCTATATTATATCCCTATATCTATATTATATCCCTATATCTATAATATATCCCTATATCTATATTATATCCCTATATCTATATAATATCCCTATATCTATATTATATCCCTATATCTATATTATATCCCTATATCTATATTATATCCCTATATCTTTGCAGCTTAAGATGTCAAATTGCAAAGATAAAGGGATTTATAAATCAGAATATGTGAGAAGAACTCAGTTAGTTTAATTTTACAGAAAACCTAATTACAAATCACTTTTAGCTTGTGGAACAGTTAACTGTGATTGTTCAATGGAATATCAGTTGGTCAGATATTTAGCTACAATAGGTATTAAATATTAACTTTAAAAGAATGCACAACAAAAAATTGTTAAAAACTTTGATTTGATCAAAAAGACAATGATAAATTTTATGTAATATTTTAAAAGCAGTAACCAGTATTACAGAATATCTGGTATTATTTCAAAACAAAAAGAAATAAATAAGTTACAAATTGTAGAATATCTGGTATTATTTCATAACAAAAAGAAATTAATTAGTTACAAATTATAGAATCTCTGGTATTATTTTACAACAAAAATAAATTAATTAGTTACAAATTACAGAATCTCTGGTATTATTTTACAACAAAAAGAAATAAATAAGTTACAAATTGTAGAATATCTGGTATTATTTAATAACAAAAAGAAATTAATTAGTTACAAATTACAGAATCTCTTGTATTATTTTACAACAAAAATAAATTAATTAGTTACAAATTACAGAATCTCTGCTATTATTTCATAACAAAAAGAAATAAATTAATTACATATTACAGAATCTCTGGTATTATTTTACAACAAAAAGAAATA